TCCCTGGGGAAGGATATTTTTTCTCTAAAATTTTAACCATGGATCTTCCTACATAGCCCCAAGAGCTAACAAGGACTGAAGTTCCTGTGGAGTGTATTTGGGTGTTATATGAGGTACAGCTAAGAGCTGGGGAGACAGAGGCTTCCTCTGAGCGCTGCCTTGCCTCCTGGTCCGCTTTGTTATTTTCCTGTATTATGGGATCAATCCTGAGTCTGTGTTCTTTGCAGTGTATGACTTTTAAGAAGGCTAGAAAAGGGGAGAGAAGTTCCTAACTACCAAGCAGGAAGACCCGTTGAGGCTTTCAATGATCATGTCTGTGGATGGTAATGATAATGATAAGGACTGTGAATGAGCAGTAGAAATACAGAAAATCTAGGCTCCAACCTAAGAACTTAAGCAATAGGGGAGAGCTGGGCGGGGCTGCTTTTGCTTACTAGGAGAGAAGGGGTCCCTTCCATGTCAGGGGTGATCAGGTCCTGACTCACTGGACAAACTTTTCTACAACCTTCACAAACCTTTCTACCCATTCAGAAATAACCAGCTTTAGCCCTAGCCATTTTGGCTCAGTGGATAGGGCATCGGCCTGCGGACTGAAGGGTCCCGGGTTTGATTCCAGTCAAGGGCACATGCCCAGGTTGCAGACTCGATCCCCAGTAGGTGGCATGCAGTAGGCAGCCAATCAATGATTCTCTCTCATCATTGATGTTTCTCTCTCTCCCTCTCCCTTCCTCTCTGAAATCAATTTTAAAAATATATTTAAAAAATAAGCACACTCTTGCCCAGCCAATGTGGCACAGTGGTTGAGAGTTGACCTATGAACCAGGAGGTCACTATTCAATTCCCAGCCAGGGCACATGCCCAGGTTGTGAGCTCATTTGTTCCCCAGTGTGGGGCATGCAGGAGGCAACAGATAATGATTCTCTCTCATCGTTGATGTTTCTAAATCTCTCTCCCTCTCCCTTCCTCTTTGAAATCAATAAAAATATAGTTTTAAAAAAATATTTAGATGTTTATGATTTAACCCAGCAATGCTCCAAAGCTTTTAAGTTACCGAAGACTTTGGAAAATTATGTATAGGCCTATGACGCTGGAGAAAAGGCAGGGGAAGCAGGGAGCCAGCCCTGCAGCAGTTTCCAGGCCTCCAGCTGCTTGGATTTAAGAATGCCACATTTTTCCTTAGAGATAACATGCTAAGCTTTGGGTGATAATGAGTTCTGCTTTTGATAATAACAGGACTGTTAAGTGTTTGCAGTTTTGTAGTAAAGAAAGTTGTTCTTGCCTGGCCAGTGGGGCTCAATGGTTGAGTGTTGACATGAATCAGAAGGTCACGGTTCGATTCCTGATCAGGGTATAAGCCTGGATTTCAGACTCAGTCCCCAGGGGGATATGCAGGAGACAGCACATCAATGATTCCTTTTCATCATTTTTGTTTCTGTCTTTCTCTCTCTCTCCTTTCATCTCTGAAATCCATAAAAATATATTCTTTTAAAAAGGAGGTTGGCTTACCTGCCACCACAATTTTTACTGGAGGCTCTGTCCTGGTGACGTAAGTCTGTGGGGCTCTGTCAGGAACTGGGCAGCTTCAGTCTTCAGTGGCCAGTCCCAGGAGGTCTGAAAGCTCCAAACCGGATCCGGAGGGCAGCCTTCCTGGACTGACTGAGGTTGACCTGGAGGGGTCAGACAACAGTCTGATTTCCAGGGGCCTTCCCTTCCACACTTGGGGCAGGGCCCAGGCAGGGGTCTCGGGTTTGGGCAAGACTTTGCCTGGTGTCCTTCCTTCTTGCATGTGAAGCATGGGCCCAGAGGAGGCTTAGCCCCTGACTTACCCTTGGTTGGAGGACTGGCACTTTGTTTGGGGTTCGTGAGAGCGGTGGCTAGGAGCTGAAAGGCCTCCCTCTGGGCCTCAGCCTTGGCCTGATCTCGCTTTTGTTTTTGGATTTGGGTCTCCTCGTCTCTATTATTAAAGACCTTAAAGGCCAGGTTAACTAGGTCTTTTTGAGGGGTTTGTGGACCTGTATCTATTTTTCTAAGTTTACGGTATATGTCGGGGGCTACTTGGAATATAAAATGGGTGTTCAGAAGACGAGTTCCCTCTGGGGACGTGGGGTCTAAGGTGGTAAATTTCTGTAAGGCCTCCATGATGTGGGAGAGGAAGAGAGCCCTGAGGATTTCATTAAGTTTGTCATAGTTGACCACCTTATGGGAAGCCCTTTTGAGTCCAGCAATGAGACAGGTGAGCCTGCACCCTGGAGAATTAACCAGGTCGTCCCATCTCCCATAAGTTCAGGGATCACATTAGCGCCAACCAGATTGGCCACTGCATCCTGTCTGTGGAGGGCCTCTGCCTGGTCCTGAGCTGCTAGCCAGATGCACTCCTTCTCCTCTGGGTTAGAGAGGAGGACAGGGTGACATAGATGTCCTGTCAGGTCCGGTCATCAGACTGGGTCAGGTACTCAAATTCCTCCATAAAAGTGGTCTGGTCGGTGGAAAAGGAAAAGGTCAGTTCCTGCCGGGAGCCGGTCCATCCTTGCTGTTTCAAGGGACCTGGCATATATGGCATACTGTTCTTATTATGTTTGCTCACCTTCTTGGCACTATGTGTTTTAACCAAGGTCACCTCTCCGAGAAAGGTTGTTTCCCCAGGTAGGGATTTTCCCCTGAAGTTAGGGAGGGAATAAAACCCCTTGACTAAGTGCCGAGAACCTAGTGTGAGAGCATGGCTACAGAACCTGGCTGGAGAACCTGGAGAACCTGGCTGGAGAACCTAGCAAGAGAACATGGACACAGTACTTGGCTGGAGATTGTGGCTAGAGATCCTGGCAAGGCTGCTGATCAACTGAACGCTGTCTCCGTGTCATTCTTTCTTCGCCGACTCCGTCCACACCTTTGGGGACCCTGGACCTGCTGGGGTTGGACCCCAGCAAGTTCCTGCTCCCTCCCTCAGGGGTACAATGGCCTCGGGAATAGAAGCAGCTGTTGAGGAAGGCGGTTTTTGGGTGGCCCAAGAGCGAAGGTTAGGTGGGGGAAAAGCTCTATTAGAGCTCGGGTTCTCTGGATTTGAGCTCTCAGGGGCCCTTGGAGAAGGTGGTTGCTGGTTAGATCTGTGTTTGGGGAAAACCCCCTTACTGCAGGTGAGGGAGGGGGCACCTACGGGGGTGGAGGTCGGTGGTCTGCTGGGTCAGAAGTAGATTCAGAATCAGAAGCTAGGGGTATGATGTTTTGTGTAAATCACACAATGTCAAAATTGAAAGGGCCATTTCCAGGCCATTGAGACGCATTTTCTAGTTTATATTGTGGCCAAACAGTGTTGTAAAAGAAAATGAGGTGCTGGGGCCTGTTCTTCGCCCTGAGTCTAAGGTGGTCAGGATTTTTAAGGACACCTGGAGGTATGGAGGGAGTGTTCCCCTTGATAAAGCGAATAAGGGTGGCTCACAAGGTCTGTGAGTGACAGATCACAAGACCAGAGGTGACTGTTTAAGGCAAGCGTCCCCACTGCTAAACAAATCACCATGAGAAACGAGGGGCGACCCTCCGGACTGGGCATCCCCAGTCCAGAAGGACCTGAAGCTGAACAGCTGAAGAGTCTTCTGGCCTAGCACTAGGACTTTCACGATGAGAGTACTTTCAAGAAGTCAGTGAGAATAAGTGGGCAGAAGACTGGAGACAAGGGAAATTGTAGACCATCGCTCACCTAGAGAAGATTGGCCCGTGTGGGATCGGGGGTCAGCAATGGAGAAGGAGAGGTTCCTGATCTGTCAGTTGTCTTCTTTGGCTGGCTCGGGAGGGCTCATAAGGAGGGAGGCCTAATTTGAGGCAGGTGGTCGAGTCACCCGAGTAGGATTCAGAGGTAAGCCCGGGACGAGTTGCTGCTGTCTACTGCTCTCTGAGTAACAAACTCAGGGTGACTGAAGTTGGGGCAATGACTCCCCTTGCCCGTGGAACCCTCCTAGATTTTTTTATTTTTTTTAATATATTTTTATTGATTTCAGAGAGGAAGGGAGAGGGAGAGAGAGACAGAAACATCAATGATGAGAGAATCATTGATTGGCTGCCTCCTGCATGGCCCCTACTGGGGATCAAGCCTGCAACTCAGGCATGTGCCCCTGACCGGAATCGAACCTGGGACCCTTCAGTCCGCAAGCCGATGCCCTATCCATTGAGCCAAACTGGCTAGGGCCTCCTAGAATTTTGGCACCAAATGTTAGGGTCACCAAAGGAAGAACTCACGAGGCTGAAGTTTTACAGAATTATAAATGTATTAGGTCATCTGGAGACCAGATGCGCTGAGCCCCAAAATAGCATCAGCACCCAGGGATGGGGAGCCAGAGGTTTTTTTCATTTTTTATTTTTATTATGTTTTTTTTTTCTTGAAGGTATTTATTACCATCCAAACATATTTCCAACAGGGAAAGGCATGATCCCTAATTTCCCTAAGATCTGTGTTTTCAAAGTCTTCTAGGGAACCCTTCTTACATAACCCTCTGAAGACTCCAGAGTTCTGTTTATCCTTCTCTGACAGAGGTGGGGGGAGTCTTGATCTCTGTACAGGTTAGAGTAATTCAGATTCCAGTTCCCTCTGCCAATTCCTAGGCTGACCTGCAAATTCCTGCTTACTATTTCCCTTAGGCCTCTGGGTCCTTTTTGTCTGAGGTGACAATGACATTCATGGCCTGCCAATGGCCCTCCTGTGAGGCCCATTGAGGTGAACTGTGGCTTCCCTGTCAAGGCCTTTTGGAGAGCTACAACTAACCACCAGTCTTTCTTTGCCCTCAAGCTGGTTTCCCAGGAGATTTAGCCCCTTTTCTTTGGTCTCAAGGGCCTCAGGAGTTCAAATATTTCTGATGAATG